ATAATTTTTGTTAATCCTATCGCCGTAATTGTACAAAGACCAAGCCATTCAAACAATTTGCAGACTTAATTATTATTTCGATGTTTTTTTTATTTTCACACATGTTTTAACATTTTCTTGAATTCGATCATGATTACACCTGAAATAAGATAAAATTTATTAATATTTTATAGCAATATTTTCGAAATATATTGATTTTATAAACTCATAAATTCAATTACTTAGCTTTTAGCAAAAAAAACATTTCAGGCATTATTTTGCAGTAAATATAATTGTAGTTTATCTAAAACTCATATTTCTAGAACTCTATCACAGTCAAATCTGAAATAATTAAAAATACAGTAAATAGAAAATTTTAACATTAATTTAAAACAGCTCAATTATAGTTTCAAATTAAAACAAAAAACTATTGTTGGAAATACGAATACCAAATATTCAAAAGCGATAATAAGTTATTGAAAAGTCTTCATTTAATAAGTTTGTTAATATTTTTATTACCTTTTACCAAATCCATTCTTGCTATGTGATAGTTTTTATATTACAGCTGATTTTATATCCATTTCAATTTAGTCAATCTAGAATATATAAAATACATCATTGTTTACTAAATATGTATGTTGATTTATATAAGTAATAAATATACTTACGTGCTTTAAATATAAAACTCAAAATTACGTTATTTAACCGCTTAATTTTAATTATAAACTGTTCACAAAATAAGTTTTTAGCAAATTATTATATATTTGATATCATAGATCATTTTATTATTCACTAAATATTCACTCAAAATTCACGAACTAAGACTTACTATATTTTATGAATATTTTTTAATATTATAACAAATTCTAAATTCAACAAAAATTGCTAAACGCACTGCGTAACAAATTTCAGTCTACTGAAAATTACGAAACTCTGCTTGGCTTGCGCTTTGTTTGATGGTGTAGGTGTAGCATTGTTAATCAAAGGGCGGTTTTTATGTTTTTGTATTTTATGTTACGAAGTATACGCTCATTAATTTGTCGTTATTAGTTTATTCAGTGTAGTAGTCATTAAAAAAAACTTTATATATAACAAAGTTTATATATAACTCTTTTTTCATTCATTTCAATATGAGATAGTTAGTAAATTACATAATCTGTGAAACGTTAGTTAGAAAATGTTCAAAACGAAATTAATAAAAACGCCATTAATTATTATTATATCAAATATGTTTATATTTATAAAATTTTAAATATTTAGATTTATTATTGATTTTTTTTCTGAATTATATAAAATAAATTTTATCTTCACAAAACAAAATTAATATTTCACTTATTTTATTCTACGTTTTGGGCTTATGGATTCTTTCCTTCTTCAAGAACTAACCAACAAACATTTTTTATAATCACACTCTTTTCTATGTACACAATAATAAATTTAAAAAAATCTTCGTTTGAATTTAAGTTAATTTTTTAATTAAACTTTTACTCTTAAATAACATTAATATAAATAATAAACTAGTATAGTAATATAAATAATAATTGCTATCAAAAAGATAAAACAAAAGTGCAATGACATAATATTTGTTCATAAAATACGTATAAAATAATTTTGGCCACAACTGACACAGTCAGGTAGAATATTTCGTCGTAGGACAAAGGACACGCATAGAAGAAAGGACTCGCATCGTACACGAAGTGAGATAGTCTTATACAAACATCGGTTATATGAAAGAAAGAAGAGACACTCTTGAGTAGTTTCTCAAAAACAGATGTTCGTACATATATATGGTATGGTCATACATACATGTATATATGATGCAATTTCAGAAATTTTTATCTATGAATAAATATAAAACGTCTAAATTTATAAATATAAATCGATATATTACTAGCAGATATAACAGATTTAAATAATATTAATACATACCAAACCAGGGTAAAACAAATTTAAGCAAGGCATGTGACTAATCACAAAATTTTATTATTTAACTTTTATTTTATTCGAAGTTTTGTTTTTTTTTATCAAACATTTTGTTTACATTTTTTTCTCGTTTACTCACATTATTTAAATTTATATATATATATTCTGATACTTTTGCACTATTATAATCTTGTATAATTTTGTTTTTGTTTTGTTTATTGAATGATGGCCATACTTAAAATATCGTTAAATAATATAGTTAATAAATAAATACAATATAGTTAAATTATTTATTGCTTTTTTAACTTCCCGTAGGGTAGTTATAGTAATGAGACGAATATCGAAAATGAAAATTTTTGCATATCTTCACGTTTAATAATGGATTTAATTAATTTAGCTATTAATTAATTAATTCTCAAAAATATGTTTTTTAAGAGTCACCATAGATGTTTTTGGCGCTAATTTATGATTTAAAATTGATTATTTTCTTGACCAATGTAAATGTTACTTATTTCCCAATGTAAATGTTCGATAATAAAGAAAAAATAAATGTGAATATAATATTTACAATTTATATTGAATTCATATAAAATTTATATCAAACTATTAATTACGATCGAGCTGATCGAGCTATGTATTACCTAAGATATTATCAATGAGTTAAATTCTGTTTTCTATATGAATTAAATAATATTTTTAAATATGGGTTAAAATAATAATTTTGAATTTGGGGTAAATATTGTTTATTTATATTAATCTTATATTGGTTTTCAATATAATTTCAGAAAAAAAATGTATCAACCCCACATTTAAAATTCATATTGAATTTATAACAAAAATATATCAAACTATTAATTGCAATCGAGCATATGACTTTTTAAAAACTTTAATCATGATTTTGGTGCTAATTAATTATTTAAAGTTGATTTTTTTCGTAACCCTTATAAAGACCACACATTTCCCAAATTCGATAATACTGAAGAAACGAATCGTGGTTGCCCAGAAAAAAAAAGCAAAACCCCCACATTTAAAATTTATATTGAATTTATAAGAAAAATGTATCAAACTTGTAATTGCGATCGAGGACATGACTGTTTAAAAGCTTTAATCATTACTTTGGTGCTAATTAATTATCTAAAATTAATTTTTTTCGTGACCTTTATAAAGACCACATATTTCCCAAGTTCGATAATACTGAAGAAACGAATCGTGGTTGCCCAGAAAAAAATGCATAACCCCCACATTTAAAATTTATATTGAATTTGTAAGAAAAATGTATCAAACTAGCAATTGCGATCGAGCATATGACTTTTTAAAAGCTTTAATCATGATTTTTGTGTTGATTAATTATCTAAAGTTAATTTTTTTCGTGACCCTTATAAATACCACATATTTCCAAGTTCGATAATACTGAAGAAACGAATCGTGGTTGCCCAGAAAAAAAATGCATAACCCCCACATTTAAAATTTATATTGAATTTGTAAGAAAAATGTATCAAACTAGCAATTGCGATCGAGCATATGACTTTTTAAAAGCTTTAATCATGATTTTTGTGTTAATTAATTATCTAAAGTTATTTTTTTTCGTAACCCTTATAAATACCACATATTTCCCAAGTTCGATAATACTGAAGAAACGAATCGTGGTTGCCCAGAAAAAAAATGCATAACCCCCACATTTAAAATTTATATTGAATTTGTAAGAAAAATGTATCAAACTAGCAATTGCGATCGAGCATATGACTTTTTAAAAGCTTTAATCATGATTTTTGTGTTAATTAATTATCTAAAGTTATTTTTTTTCGTAACCCTTATAAATACCACATATTTCCCAAGTTCGATAATACTGAAGAAACGAATCGTGGTTGCCCAGAAAAAAAAATGCATAACCCCCACATTTAAAATTTATATTGAATTTGTAAGAAAAATGTATCAAACTAGCAATTGCGATCGAGCATATGACTTTTTAAAAGCTTTAATCATGATTTTTGTGCTAATTAATTATCTAATGTTAATTTTTTTCGTGACCCTTATAAATACCACATATTTCCCAAGTTCGATAATACTGAAGAAATGAATCTTGGTCGGCCACAAAAAACTTGGATTTCGCCCACATTTAAAAATTATGTATAATTCGTGTAAATATAGAATTAGAGGCGTAAATCAGATGGAAAACATGTTTATTATTTGTAATAAACCATATAAAACACTTTTCCGGTGAATTTTCCAAGTTTTCCATAATTTTGAAAACAAATATTGTCCGGTCCATTTAAAGACAAGATTCGAATATTGCGCCACGATATTTTACCCCTCTAGCCACGATACATTTCTACTAGGGATGAATTATATCCCAATGATGAGATTAAAAAAAAATGATCGAAAGACCTCATCGAACTAATTTAATGAGTGTTCTGGAATAGAATTTTTAAACAAATCGATTATAATCTTTTTTGCATATTTTCAAAATTTGACTATTCAAGAATATGTGTACAAGAATTTTTTTTCTAAATAAAAATTATTGTCAGAGATATAACTGTTTGACCACGTCACGACAATCCTCCTGTTTTCTTCCTGCACGAGACTTTAAATGCATTTTTTGGAAACTGTTTTTTTTTATACGATACACACAATTTCTTAACTTCTACTGCACTGTTTTAATCTTTTTTATGGACTTTTCTTCAGTATCAACTACGCTCATCCCCAAATTCTGATTTTTACCATTTTTAAAAGATTCGAGACAATAAAAAAATATTTTTCTTTCAGTCAGTCGCTATTTTGTGAAAAAAAACATTTTTGGGGCGTCCATTAATCACGTGAGCCTTAAAGAGGGAGGGGAGATTAAATATAACGTAGGAGAGAGGGAGGGGTTTAGTAAAATATCATGTGTATATATTTTTTACCTCAATTTAAAAAAATCTAAAATTCTCCAAAAAAATTTCAAAAATTTTACGATTTTTTCTAGGTATTACCAAAGAAGGGGGATGAAAAAAAGTTCTTATAAATCGCTACACTCAATTTTTTTTTGATTATTTGGAGGGTTGAAATTATAGGTATGGTCGTATGCCAATTTTTTGAGACTCCTCACTTGATCACCTTCTAGAATTATAACTTTGTGAATATTTTTGTTTTTCATTTTCTCAAATCAATAATTAATAATTTATAGAAAAATATAGTAAATATAGTAAAATGTTGTTTGGTGTTTTAATGGTCTTTCAAAAAGTGCATAAATTTCTTGCCTGTAGACCAAAATACCCCCTTAATATTAACCCCAATAGCTCTACTAAACTCGTATTCTCATCGAAGGAGATGTTTGAACATGATCATGATCATTAGTGATGCTAATTACCACACAGACTGATAGAATAGTTTTGTGATTCTGATTGCCAGCAATAACGAACAGTTTAATCTTGTATGGTTTAAACTATTATTCCATATTTGTCAACTTCCCCCCGCTATTCACTATGAATAATAAATGTGTAATTAATTATCAATAACAATATGTGAGATCACTCGACCGGCGCGTTTCGTGTCGTTTGCCCGCTCCCGACCCACCTGACGTCGCCTCTCGTCGTCCGCCTTTTTTCCACCTTGCGCCGCCGCCACCGTCGCGAGTTGTCCGCCGCGGTCCTCGTCCTATTCCACGTCGTGGAAGCGTAGAATGGCCCGCCCTGGTATCTCCGAGTGACATAACTTTCTGATCACCTCGCCGGCCTCGTCCGACGAAAATACGGTGTGCGGAGGTGGCTCGATCTAAGCACGAAAAGAATCTCATATGCTAATTGGCAGAAAAATAACACACAACAAGTATCTGGCTGATTTACTTTATTGGTCACGAATGTAGTATTAATTAAACGATGGCGATACTTTTCTTAATCAACATACACACACTTATATATATGACAAGTCAAGACAAACCAAAATGTTTCTTAAATATATATTATTTATTTCATGACTATTAGGTGCTAGTTATGTTTTATCTTCAGATCATCTGATCAAAACTATAATAACTAGCTGTAAGTAGCATTTTGCCTTAAGACAAGTTGCATGCAACTTAAGGGGCACAACTAGTGTGAAATTTTCAAAAAATCGAATTTTCAATTTTTCCATATTTCGATAGGTTGTACCTTTAAAAATAACATATCAAAATTTTAAATCTATATCTTGAATAGTTTTTGAGTTACAGCCATTTAAAGAGTATATATATAGTATATAGTAAAACGATCATTTAATCTTTAAACGCGTTTTTCTCGAAACAGCATTTTCTGAAATTGCTGCAGTGATTACTCAAAAACAAATGATCCAATCACTATCAAATTTTTTACATGTTCTATATATAGTTCTCCGTGAAATAAACTATCGATTTTTTGAGCGGATCAAAAATCGAATTTTGGCAGTCGAAAAACGACCAAAATTTTGGGTAAAATTCAACTTTTTTTTAAAAAACGCCGTCATTTTGTCAATTTATTATTTTTTTTCTTTATCGTAGTTCATTTTACAGACAATAGCATCTAGTTTAACGAGATTTTTTTTTTTAAATTTTATCCACGTAGAAGGCCGAAATCACTGCAGCAGTGAAGGGCCGTTGTTTTTCGCGCCGTTGGAGATCGACGATAACTTAAAATATATTTAATTTTTTCCTTCAAAGATTTCACTATGTATTCTTAAAACATATATAAGTATATTCTTAAAATTTTGAAATGATTGATAACGTAGTTTTTTTAATATAAATTCCCAAAAATCACCTTTTTTTAGGCGGTTACACTAGTTGTGCCCCTTAATAAGAATTGAGATTCAGATACTTACAATTAGGTAAAATGTTCAACTGTTTATTCAGAAAATAATATTTTTGCTTTCACTAAAAATAATCATTACGATTTCCAGTTGATGTTTTTCCAATATACTTGAGATATCTGCAATTGTATAAATTAAAATAAATGGTTAAACTAATTTCATTTCATCTATTTCGTGTTTAAAAAATGTATTTTATTAAAGTGTGAGCGAGTAGCTGTAGTTTCCTACGAAAAAAATAATAAAAAAAATAGTTAAAAAAAATTGAGAAAAAACGATAAAAAATGTACATATGATTCTGATTAGAATCGCAGAAGCGCGCAACAAAATTCTAAAATTTGATGATTTTTTTTAATTCAACCATTTATCCTAGGCCAATAATATTTTAGTATGTAATTTCAGACCACGATCTCTATCGCCACATAACAGTTTCATCAAAATCGCCAAAAAAATAACATTTAATTAAGAAGAAATGACCCGGCCGATCTTTACCAAAAACTGATGAACGCGATTCCAAATGTCTTTCGAGCAGCTTTAGAACTCTTAAAATCGGGTCAAGATTGTGGGCGTGAACCTGAACGAAAAATTTTACACTTTTCTGTTAATTACAAACATAATATATATCGATTGGCTTTTAAATTTTTGAAATCGGTTCAGCCATTTTTGAGTTGACGAAAGGTCAAAAATCGATTCACATACATGCACACATATACTTTTTCCGAATTTGTTCTCATTCGATTCAGAATCACTTGAAACGGCGAGACAACATAAAATTAGCAAATCGGATCCTTTCGAGAAAAAATAAAATAAGAGGTTAAGTATGACCTTAAAAGTTTTAATATCCTTCAAGTGGCCTTGAAGGGCCTTGAAGTTGATCCTTGAGGCCGACCGGAAATTTTTAGTATCTTACGATCTAGCTCACAAAAATATAAATTAAAATCTTTATTTTACTCGTAAATTTTACGCCAAAGCTGTCAGATATTTTAACAACTTATAGAGACGTTCACTTACCAAAAGTATACTCAAGAAAAATTGGCAAAGAGACAACTACTTCCGAGTCAAAGATTTTTTGTCCTTTGCAAAATAAATAGTCATTCATTATAATTTTAATAGCTATTAACGAAAAGACATTCGAATAAACCCTATTAGAAGTAAAAGTTTGTGTGTGTGTACATTTTTTCTTATTTATATTAAATTTTAAATTGAAAATGAAAAATTGTTTCATTTATCTATCATCATGATTTATAAGTCAATTCATAATCATAAAGATAAAAGTAACAATCCTCAGGGCATATTTCACATGTTTTAACTTTTTGGTGGAGAAGTGTAAATTAGCCCCAAAATATCTGATTTTTACATTTTTTTTTTCAAATTATTCTGAATATCTTGAAACCAAATTTGGAAAAAGTATGTGTATATATGTAAACAAAATTTGGCATTTGCTCGACGTTTTCCCAAAAACTATATAAACTATAACTCGAAACTCAAATCCTGAACCGATTGTGAAAATTTAAAAATCGTTTGAAAAATATCGGTTGGAAATTGAGATAACTAATTTTAGCAAAGATTGGCCAGGGCGTTTCTTCGTAATTATTGAAAAAAAAATTGACGATGTTGTTGAATCTTTGTATGATGACAGAGTTCAAGATCTATATAGCATTAAAGCTTTGAATAATATGCTAAACTCTTGTTAGTATATTTATCGAACAAAGCTCCTGCTCGCTTTTTGTTCAATAATATTATAATATTTGAACGATTTGTAGAGTACATATTTTAACTACTTGTACATGTTGTAAAAATTTGTACAAAATTAAATAAAGTGCAATGTAGTAAAGTTTTTTATTCGTTATTCATACATATGAAGGAGTTCTTGTCTCTAGGCAAACGCAGTTAGTTAATTTGTTATTTAGACGTATTGGGCCATATATTGATACAAATACATATATCAGTTATTGAGTATGGCATAATAATAGTTTTTACTGTGATTGCATTGTATTTTCGAACGTTATGTAAATAATTTTGGCTACCGATTACAAGGTATGATATATATTCGATTTTATTTTTAAAGTATTAGTTTTCATGTCGACAATGAAAGCGAACTCTTAACGCGAGAGATTTTATTTGTTGTTGAAATAGCACGAGTTATTTTAGTTTCGTGACAAATTCTCCTGACGATAATTTTAGGATAGTATTGTTTCTGTTTCATTGACAATCAAGTTTTTTTTTAAAAAGAATATGAGTCTCACAGACGATAATAATCCTCAAACACTGCACACTTTTAAAATACTCGGGTCATGATAAAATTTAAAATTGAAAATTAGTGTAATTTTTGTATGAGAAATCATTTAACAGCTTTTGTAAATTAAAGTTGAATGAAAAAATTTAATGATGACCTCGTCGACTTCTGATAAAAATGCAAACGCATATTTGCACAGAAGATTTACATTTTGATTTAATTTGGTTTGAAATATAATCAAGAACTGTTATCACATATCATTAATTTCTTTAGGGATTTTATTTTTATTTGTAAATATGTTATTATTACTTACTCATTATTTTAAAAGTATATCAAGACATTACTCAAAATAACAACAGATACAATAATTTAAAATTTAATAAATAATTTTTAAATTTAAAACAATTGTCCAGTTTAAAGACTAAAATAGATCCTTTACAAAAAATAACTTTTTTCAAAAGTAAGACAACCCACTTAAATTCAAGACAGATATGATGCCCTTATTTTAATTAAGAAACAATGAAAATGCATTTTAAATAAGAATAAAAAAATAAAGATATTTATATAAAAGTGATGAGAACATATTATAATTATTGATATAATATTATGAATGATAATATAATAAATAATTTTAATTATGTTATTAATTAAAGTAAAGAATAAGAAATGTAATCGACGTATTGACCCTAACCTTTTGGATCAAAAAATCTGATAACTCAATAAAATCTCAAGAATCAGCATTATTCTTTCTAAGGGTTCAAATCTTTTTAAGGTCAGTTCTCATTTTTTTAAATCCACGTATTAGTCTTATATATAGCATATAATTAGTAGTGTATGTTTCATTTACATTTCGGATCTTTGCAGCGCATCAAAGTGTTTTTTCTTGAGAGATCTTGCAAGTAACAAGAAATATGTGTTGTTCCTTTTGAATTCCAAGACAAATTTTATTTTTGTGTATTTTTGTATTCGTGAAAAGTAATTTTAGAGCTGACCTGATTATATAGAATGGTCACGCACGCCAACAGAAATAACGCGAAGAATAATTATATTGATATCGCAATTCTCGACAGTAAATCACTTGAGATTTCATTGTAGTTTACTGAAATGAATAATTGAATCACGTGTAATCATACAAATCAAGTAAGTTATCAAATTACAGTCTTCACTAGTTAAATATACATTTTTCTTTGATATGAAATGAGAGGTATGAACGATACTCATTTCGACAGTCTGATGTCAAGCAGTAGCGACATCGGTTTTACTTGGAAATATAAGAAAGCAATGCAAACAGCCCTTGCCTGATATTGCTGCATCAATAAAAATTTTAATAACAAATTCCTCACATAGATTTAGGACAACCGTTTGGGTTGCCATTGATGAAGCCACGCCGTTTAAGAAGTCAGCCAACAACTCGCAGGACTCCAACAGTTCTGATTACTGTTAAAAACTAGTGGGGCATGGCATCGTGCCTTAAGGCTAATTGCTGGATCTTCCGTACGTACGTACGGACGGAACGTACCGAAAATTAAATTTATTAAAAAAAAAACTTTGAAAAAAAATAGATTTTTAGAAATTTTGAAATTTTTGAAAAAAAATAACTTTTTTGAAAAATTTGATTTTTTTTATATTTTGATTTTTTTTTGTATTTTGATTACAGTTTTGAACATTTTTTTGAGCAATTGCGCTACATAGCTGATTTGGAGTCGATATATCAAAGCAAATAGCC